CCAGTGATGGGTCACTGCTATTTTAACTCCTCCAAAAGAGTTGGAAGATTTCTTTGATGTGGGGTGAGAACATTGGTGGGAGCCCATGCCCTTGACAGCTCCATTTGCTCTGCAATGACCTTGGGGTGCAAGTGACCTTGTCCTCATTTTACAAAGAGGAAACTGAGGCACAGGAAGAATAAAGGAATTGCCCAAGGTGAGCAGCAAGTGGGTTAGATCAGGATCAGGAAAGGCTTCCATGCATCAGGGAAGTTATTGGGGTTTCCTGTTGATCCCTGTCCTGTAACACACAGAGAAGCTGCTAGCGGAGAGGGTAGGGTCTCATGACAATGACACAGCCAGATGCACAGCAGGGTGATGACCTTGGCCTGATGGATTCCCTTCCAGGCTCCCCACATTCCACATACTTTGTGTATCTCCTTCCTCTCCCAACCATTGATAGAGAAGTGCTATGCGGGCTCTTCCATTGCCTCCATTTTTTTTTTCTTTCTTCCACAGAATGTTTTGATTTGGTAATGAAAGTTTGTGTTGCTGGGCTCCTGCCCAATGTAGGAAAGTGGTCTGTGACTGTTTGAACTGTATGACCTTTCAAGGATGTTCTGTTAAGCTCCACCCCCTCTCAGGGATGTTCTGTAACTCCTCAGTTTGTGCCCAGTGTATCAAAATGGTTTGTGAGTGTTTTAACTGATTGACCTTTCGGGAATGTTCTGCTAAGCTCTGCCCCATCACAGGAGGGTTCTGTTAAGCTCCACCCAGCTCAGGAATGTTCCATAACTCTGCCCCTCTTCTTCAGGAATGTGCTGTAACTACACCCCCTTATTCAGTGAGCATGCCCACATAGCATGTGTTTCAGGAATGTTCTGTAACTCCACCCCCCCTGCTTCATTGAGCATGCTCACAGAGCATGTGTTTCTGGAATGTTCTGTAACCCCTATGCCTGCTTCATTGAGCGTGCTTGCCTACCCTGTAGATCCTTATATAAAGAGGCTCTCATTTCTGGTAGAGTGCTCAGACTCGTCTGAACCCGCAGGGGCTCTATGGCATAATAAAGATTTTTCTCCACCTCTTCAACTGACCATCAGATTCTCAAGTCTTCAAAGAATGAGAGCTGTGACCCAGAGCTACCACACCAAGCTGTAAAGCTCAGCTGTGCCTTCCAAGCTGTGGTACTTGACTGCAACATGGAGCTGTAACATTTGGCTGCAACACTGAGCTATAACACTTAGTTGTGTCTCTGAGCTGTGGCTCTTAGCTGTGACACCAAGCTGTAACACTTGGCTATAGCACAGAGCTGCTCCACTCTGCCACAACACCATGACATCCCTGACTTGCAGGTCACTGGAGCAGGAGTTTCATGATCATCTGTGCCCTGTGACATCTGGACCTGGTGTGCTGTTGGTAAAGCCCACAAGATCACTCTTGCCTCTGAGGCCTTCACGGACTTTGCCTTTGATCTCAGTGTGTCCTCTTCTCCCATTTTACAGGATGGGAAGTGCAGAAACTTTCTCTAGGCCACACAGCCAGTCCAGCTGAGCTGGGACCTATTCGGTCTCTAGTTCTGGTCAGAGGCTGTATGTGTAACTGAGCTGGTTCCCTGAGGATGGCTTGATCTGAGGATGGTACCTTGGCTCCTGCTCTGTGATGGGATCTTGGACAGAAGGAATCTGGGGATCCTGAGTCATGTGGGCTAAGTACCTACCAGCCGCTCAGCAGTCTGTCCTGGCCACCAAGAGTGCCCCCTCCAGGACCAAGCTTTGATGGTGTCTTGCGGAATCTCATCTCTCCGGAAGATGAAAAGATAAAAGGGGTGAAATCATTTCTGGTTTCTACCCTGGATGATGTGACTAGCTGCTGTGTGAATTTTGGCAGATGTTATGGTTTGTATCTTGATGTCCCCCCAAAGCCTCATGTACTCTTGTGTGGTTTATGAGCTGTTTTTTCTTTGCCATGCTGCCCTGCTTTGGAGTCAGCCGACTGGACTAAAAACTCTACAATCTGTAGCACAAAAATAAAACTTTTCCCCTTTAATTTGTGGCTGTTAGGCATTGTGTCTCAGTAGTAAGAAAGTAACTGAGACACATTTTAGTACCAAAATTAGGGTTGTCGCTGTAACATGACCACGTGGTTCATGTGAAGAACCAGCGCCCCTCTCCTTGGATCATGCACAGTGGACAGACACAAAGGACTGGGGGTGTAGCAAAAGTGAGGCTTTATTTCTTGATCTTGCAAAGTGGGTGCCAGCCTAACAGGCAGAGAGCACACTGGAGTGGTTTCAGTGAGCAGTTTATCCCTAGCATGTGGCTCTCTTCTCCCAGGTTCTCATTGGCTGAGTACTATGTGGGCACAGTCTTCCCAGTTTCCGCCTATATCCTTGGCCCACTCTTTTTGCAAACATTTTGTATGTTTAAAGGCAAACGATTAAGCTACAGAGGGGTAACTTCTCAACTGCCAGTACTTTTCCAATCAGAGTTAACATAGTGAAGCCATACTTTATTGATTATCTACCTCTTCCTGCTTTGTTTATGGACCCTTCAGATGTATGACCTCAGTCATGTCTGCAGGCAAGTAGGCAGTTTTGTAGCTTCCCACTCAGAGTTAAACATTTCATCTTGAAAATAGATCACTTTAAATTTCTATTTCATAGAGTTCAGAAGCCTTTGGAACTGGCTTGTGGAAGAAGTTTGGAAAGGTTTGGAGGTGCCAGATGGAGAAACAGCCCTAGAATGCTCTGAGTCAAGCTTGATGGTCTATTCTGGTCGGAGCTCAGAAGACCAAAATGTCGACAGTCATGCAGATATAAAGACCAGGCTCAGGAGGTTTTCCTTGTGAACAAGGACTGTATTGGCAGTTGCTCCAGGCCATATGTGCTGTGCTCTGGCAGAGAATTTGTCTACATTTTTCTCCTATCCTGAGACTTTGAGGGAGACTGAGATTAAAGAGCAGAGGGTGATTTTATCTGGAGAAAGAAATTTCAAGGCAGCCGAACATTCAGTCTTAGGCTTGGGTACTGTTGGGGCTTTTAGCCAGTTTTACCTTGAGAATCAAGGGCATGGTTGGGGATTTAGCTCAGTGGCACTGTGTCTGCCTGGCAAGTGCAAGGTCCTGAGTTTGATTTCCAGTACTGGAAAAAAGAAAAGGGGTGGGACTGGAAAAGAGTGGGGCAGGGGAGACATGGCAAAACACAGCTGAATGACTTTAAAAGTTTTTGAGTTCCTCCAGAAAGGAAGCTCCAGTACTACAGGAGCCTGCAAAGAAGGAGTAGAAGAGAGCTGGGTTGCTTTAAAGATTAGCGTTAAAAAGAAACCAAGATCTTTGAATCTGGACAATCCAAAGGATGCCTTGGGGGGCAGGAGGAATCTGAAAGGCCCACTTTTCACAGACCTAAAGGTGGAAAGGTGAGACTCTGCTTTGAGAAGAGCTGCAGTCTAGCAAATAGAAAATGATTCCCCAAGATTCAGTTCACCGTGTTCAGCCATCCAGGCACTCAGAAGTCTCTGCAACCACCAGCAACATGCAGAAGGGCTCCGCTGCTGCTCTTGTGGCAGACTTTGGCATCATTCATGGTGGTGCTAGTTTTACAGGCATGAAGAATACAAGAGTTGGGGGGTCAGGAAGGCTCCCACCCAGATTTCGGAAGAAGACCTGGGAGGTCAGGCAGTGCACCTGAGAGAGCAGTTCATGAAGCTGTGAGCGTGAAGCTGAAAGTGTAGAGGAAATGCCAGAAAGATGCAGAAGCCAGGAGCATGGACCACCTGAAGAAAGCCCCAAGTAGTGAGGAAAGCCAGTCCTAGAGAGAAGCCAGGAGGGCTACAACCACCGGTAGTGCCATAGGGATTGAGCCACCTAAACCTTTTGGAGTCTGCATCTCCCCGTAATTTGTCCATGTTCCTAGATACGGAACTACAGGATTTAATGTTTCCCCTGCTGGATTTTGGTCTTGGTCTGGTCCCATTTCTTTCTATTCTTTTATTTTTACAGGTACTCACAGCTAAGAGTTTGCCTGAAATCTCAGAGGAGACTTTGAATTTGGACTTTTCAGAAATGCTGAAACTGTTAGGATTCTAGCTACACTTAGAGATGGACTAAATGCATTTTGCATACAGGGGTGCACACGAGTCTTTTGGGGATCAAAGTGGAATGTATGGTTTATATCTGGATTCCCCCCTCAAAGCCTCATGCACTCCTAAGTGGATATTTGAGGGCTGTTTGGATAATGGCTGTGTGATACTAATCAGTGCATTAGTCCAGTGGTGAATTTATAGCTAAGTGTGATGTTGGAAAGTAAAGCCTGGTTGCAGGAGGTGGGTCTCTGGGGTGTGGACTGAAAGGGTCGGCCTCCCTCCCTCCTCTCTTCTTCTTGTTCTCTGCTTTGTGTCACCATTCCATGGACTGTTTCTCCTCCGCCAAGCTCCTTTGCCACACTGCCCTGCCTTAGAGCCAGCTAAAAACTATGGAATGAAAGCTCTACAAACTGTGAACCAATTATAGTTTTCTCTTTTAATTTGCTGGTGTCGGGTATTGTCTCAATGACAAGAAAGTAACTAAGACAGTAGATACTTAAGGGCCTCCAAAACTCATGTTCAGTATAAGTTGATGGAGGATTAAACGAAATAAATGTAGCCATCAGAACTGATACCCAGACATGACCTGAAGGGGCAGGTCTTGGAGGAATAGAGTGGTGGATTTTGCAAACTCCTAGCATCAGGACAGGGAGAGGGCACACAGATGAGAACCTCGGACCCAGATACTGGAGAGGAAGAAAGGGAAGAAAACAAGAATCCAGGTTATCTGAAGAGCTGCTGAACCCACATTCCCTTTGGGACCAAGAGTTTCCATCAATAGATCAGGGATATGGGTTCCTTGGGGCAGGAAAGCAAGGCTCAGTGAGCAGAGGGAGAGGACCGTGGACTGTCAGAGACAAAGAACATGCTGTAGCAGAGGCCAGTGCTGCCCAAGCTGCTCCTCAGCCCTCTGCAAGGAAGGGCCAGGGGGTCCAGGGGGTGCAGGGCCCAACCAGGCCTAGGAGGTGCCACAAGGAGGAAGAGGCATTAAGCCAGAACCCTCCCCAGTGCTCACCCTTTGGGCCTATTGTGTGCTGAGAGCTAAAGGGTGAGCGCTTTACCCACCCCACGTACTGCCTAGAAGGGCATTTAAGATACAGCTGCCTATGTACAGGTCTTGGTCCTGCCCTAGGACCTGCATTGTGCCTCAGTTTCCCCATATGAAGTGGCAGGGAGGCTGAACCCTGCAGGGAGGCTCACAGCACCCACCCTGACAGCTGAGGCCACTGGAGCAGTACTTACTGAGCAGGGCATGCAGGCTGTGGCTGGACACACATCGCTGACTGTCCCCCACACAGTCTCAGGCCTTGGGAACTTACAGGCCACATAAAGAGTATGGGGACACTCAATTCCTTTGTGACGAGGGACTTTCTGTGCTGGTTTGAGCCTGGGGCATCTGCTGAGCCTGGGCAGAGTCTGTGTGCAATGTTCTGCTGTCACCTGAGGCCCTCGCTGTCCTCCCTGACCCAGCTGTGTCCACACAGCCAGGTGGTGCCAGGCCACCTCTAGCGTGGGTAGGAGGGAGCCTGTGGTCATCCCAGAGCCTCTGCAGGGAGCTGTTGAGAGGAAATCATGAGTTCACATCTTTCTGGGCCTAGACCTACAGGGGGCTCCAGTGTGGACAGTGGGGGCTGTGTGCATTGGGGTTTACTGGGGGACAGAGGAGGCTTATGGATTCTGGGGCTTCAGGCTGGCATCTGAGACACACAATCCCCTTCTGATTCCCAGGCCAGACTGGAAATCTCAGGAGCAGAGAGGCCCAGGGCTGTAGGATGAGGATGCGGCCACAGTTGTCCCTCCCTGCACAGGCTGCACAGGGATCTCATGCATGGGTGCAGGGACACTGAGACACACGGTGACCTGGTCCACTCATGAACTCAGTGCACAAAGGGAGACTCAGACACAGGGGGAGGAATTAATGGGTCACATGTAGGCAAGGCCAGATCAGCACCTTTTTAATGGGCCAAGGAGGGACTGAAGCAGTTACTGCTCTATGGGATTCACCACTTTCCCCAGGAAGAGCAGAAGGTTGGTGTTTTCCTCCCTGATGAAGAAAATGAAGGGCCTGTTGAACTTGATGGTGGGGGACTCTGACCAGTCCCTATCTTCCCAGTCAGTGGCCCATTGGGTCTCTGTCCCTCTCTTATCAATGGTCAGCATCGCCTTATGCACGGCGTGCAGGGAAGAGAGGCAGAGTCAGACACTGAGGCTGTGCTGTCCCCACCACAGGCTGGAGCAAGGCCTGAGTGAGAGCTTCTTCCTGGGCAGCCTCACCGGGACCTTCCTTCTCCTCCCTGACCTCAGTCCCCTCCCTGCATTGTCACACCAGAAATTTCCCTCACTCTCAGCCTTTGCCTGACCTGGCCTGCTGTCCTCTGCTCCCTTCCTAACACCATCTCTCACATCCTAGCTACAACCTTCATATTTAGAAAGGATCGGCTATGTGGAGGCCAGGTCCTCTCACAAGTGTCCCCTTTCCAGTGTATGGTGATGAGCTCCCAGGATAAGGACTCTGCTGGTGACCTTCTCAGTGCCCAGACCCCATGAGTACACAGCCTGCACTGATTTACACCTGCTCCTGGTCCATTTTCTGAGCCATTGGCCTCTTTGGCTGAACTCACTCATACTTCAGAGATGGTGTTTCACCAACAGCTCTAATTCTCATGGGTGAAAGAGTCCAGAACATTCTTTGAAGTCAATAAGCCCAAGCCTTTTTGTGTAAATATGGGTCAACTGAGGCCCAAGGACCCAACAGCTCTAAAAAAGATGAGACTGAGGGTTAGTGAGAACCTCAGGGGAGGTTCCTGTGGTGCCAGCTGCACAGGAAGCCACCTCCTTTATTCCATCTTCTGAATCTGTCCTGTCCCAGCTAATTCCTGTATCCTGGGAATGAGCTCAGCCCAGACCTTGTCAGTGTCCTTTGATTCCTGACTGAGCCACATGTCTGAGCAGCACCCCAAAACTCATTCTGCTCTACAGACACTGGGGACAGTGCTGTTGTCAGGTGACCTCACCGTGGAGAGTTTGATGGATGACACCTCCGTCATCGCTGAGAGGTCAGCTTCATCGCTGAAGATCTTGGTGATGCCCATTGCGCTCAGAATGCTCCTCAGATCATACGTTGCAGAAATGGAAAGTCTGGGGAAATGAATCCTGGCAAATCTGGTAGGCATGAGAGAAAAGGAAGGAAATTCAGAGCATTTCTCATGTTCTGCTGGGCCCCAGCATGTGTCCTTTCTGGTTGTATCTCCTGTTGTGCCCTGCCTCCTCCACACAAGATGAGAAGCTGCGCTGGTTTGTCAGAGTTTGATCTTCCTCTGTACTTGGTGTGGAGAACGTTAACTTCATGGGGACCATGTTGTCCTGACAGCCCCTGAGAAGCCACCTCCTTGAAGTAGTCCTCAGCAGATGCAAGGTGCCCTCCAGGAAGGGGATGCCATCCTGTCCTGTAGCATGTGGTCACCTTTCTCCCAGCCAGGGGCTCTCAAGGGCCTGACTCCCAGGGGAGTGTGGGTCAGTGTGGCAGGGGCTGAGTGAAAACACTTGGTGAGGAGACGAGAGTGCCCTCACCAGGTGAAAGACTGCTCTGGTTTCCTTGGGGTATAGGCGAGGCTGAGTAGACCTGTGCAGAGGCAACAGGTCCCAGCCTGACCTTGCTCTTTTGGAGGAGGCTGGGGGAAAACAGTAGTGACACTTCTATTCACAGTTAACTTCACACCTGTGTACACCTTTATGTTTGTTCCATGAGATGCATAATTGCACAGGACACCTGGGCATGGGCTCTTTCTTGATGACAAATGTACTCTGTGGGGCAGCTTGAGGACTATTGGCTCCTGGGATCCAATAAACCACACTGAAGCAGTGAGAGAGGAGCAGGCACTCAGCAAACTGCCTTGGACTTCGCAGTGCTGGCTGTTTCCTGTTCTGGGCCTTTCCATACAGGGTCCTATGCTCTCCACCCAGGGACAGTCCCTCCTGGATACCACACCCAGCTGCCACTTCTGCCTGGGGGCCACCAGCTTGTTCTTTATCCTGACATAACATGTGCATCCTTCTTGCCTCTGCCCCTGTGCACTGGGTGATGGGAAGTGCCATGGTCCATGGTGGGAAAGGACCACCCCAAGGCCAGGATCTGTGCTGCTGTCCCCTGGTCACTGACCCTTGCACTGAGCCTGGCCAATGCTAATGGGATTGAGCACTGGGTCCTGTTGGAAGCACAGGGCCATTCCCAGGAGCTGTGAGATAAGGGGATGGGGTCAACTTTCCCCAGCCCCCTGGGCAGTTCTGAAGGGCCTCCATCTTGACATGGCTCAGAAATCTTCGGTGGATTCCTGCACCGGGGACTCACCTTTTCTCAGTGGTTCTGAGTATATTATCAAAGTGTTCCTGAGTCAGTCCTTCTTCCAGTTGCTGCATCTTCCCTGGGTCAGGCAGGAAGAAGAAGGCCATGGTGTCACCCACAGACTGCTGGACCAGCACCCAGCTGGACAGCTCCTCATCCCGGTTCAGTAAAAATATACCCAGGCGATGGATCATGGGCACCCTGATGCTTGTCACCTCGTCTACATAGAAGTCCTCTTCCACGGTGTATTCAACCTGGAACTCAACAGTCCATTTGCCTGGAGAGAGAGAGACACCACGCAGGGGTGGGCATAAGGTTTAGAAAATGTGTCAGAAGAACGGAGCCCTGAGTGCCCTCCTGAGACAATGCCCTCTGAGACTCACCTTGGTCTTCTGTGAAGAGGATGAAAAGACAAGCGTTTGCTGAAGGGCTTACATGGAAATAATCTGAAGCAGGAGGAGACCCTGGAATTTGGATTTACTCAGGCTGATTTGGGACAAGCTGGGCTCCGAAGAAGAAGCATCTTTATTTAGATTTTATATTTATTTGCTAGAGGACCAAGGTTGCAATGAAAGTGACTGGCATAAGCAGAGGTCCCTAAGTCACACCTGGGCACCTCTTTCCTGGAGGTTTCCTGTCCCTCACAGAAGCTGTTTCAGTCCACGCTCAGGACATTCTGGGCTCTGTCCCTGAGGCCTCTTCCTGGACCACATGTGAAGTGCTGAGGCCCAGACAATGTCGCCTCTGCTGGACTAGTGTGCCTCACTTCCAGGCCATCAGGGCAGGCAGGTGACTCTGGGACCCCTGAACCCACCTTCTCACTGGAGAGGGTTCATTGGAGTGGAGGGGGACAGGAACTGACCCACATCACAGTAGAGCTAGGACCTCATTTGTGCTGACTGTGGCCTGGGGGCCTCTGCACAGTGCACCTCTGCCCAGGAATGAGGAGACAGGGAGGGGAGCCTCAGGCCTGGGCTTGACCCTCACCTCCCTCCCGCAGGCTGTTCCCTGGGGCCGTGGAAGCTGCCATAGAACCTGGGGTCCAGGGGTTCCTGATCCTCTCATTGCTCATAGGCAGAAAGGCAGGCTGAGGATCGAGGCTTGTTGCTCAGTTCTGTGTCCCCCACATACTATGAAACTTGATTAATTCTTTCAACACTTGGTAACAAGGGTATGGATTTGCATCCAGACCCATGTATTAAGTAACTTGATTAATCCTTTCAAAACATGACAACAATGGTGGTTTCATTGTTGTTGTTGTTGTTGTTGTTGTTCATAATTAGCTAAGGAAATGATACCTCCAATAAATGAAATGACTCATTCAATATCAACACTAATGAGTGATGAGGGAGGACTTAAACCCAAGTCTTTCACAGTTCAGAGATGACACTTCCATTATTCTAGAGTTGTCTAAATTATGTTCCACAAAACACTATTGTCTCCACCATTTGTTTCACTGTGTATCTCTGGTTCTCTAGTTAGGAAAACATTCTGTTTCCAATGCGCCTTTCTTTTTGGTATTTTCACTGTATATTAGGATAATAATCTGGCATGTTCTACAGAGAAACTGGAAATGTAATTGGTGTTCACTCATCGTTTCCCGGTCTTGCTGGTTCACAGAAATGGTGTCATTGTGCCTGAGTGGAACATTACAGATCCTAAATTGGGATGCCCTGCCCTGTTCGACATGAGCTGTCAAGGAAATTATAAACAGTGGGGCCATGAGCACATGCTGGATTATTTCAGTGGAGCCAGCTCAGACGGGGCTTCCTCCTTACCATGGAGAGAAATATAATTCACCAGCATGAGATCTGTGTCTTCCTCCAGATCTTTGACCAAATCCACTATTTCTCCATGGGTTTCTCTCTCCACATAATTATTGATCTGTTTGCTGGTGAACTGAATGTCCCTGAAATTGATGGAGTTGACTCCCGAGTGGTACAGCTCCTTGACATCCTGCACAGATTTACTCATGAGCATCAGATGGTCACTGACAAAGAGGCTGCTGCTGATGGTCAGCTGGAGCTGCTGGTCTGGATGCTGCAAGAGGTGGAGGAGAAGCTGGAAGCAATGGTGGATGTGAGTCTCAGGCATCTCTCTCAGGTTGAACTTAAGGCCCTTCAGGATCTCCGTGTGAGTATCGCCCTTGGTCCCCAGGGAGATCATTGCAAAGGCAGCCACAATGCTCATTGGGGACAATAAGACATTAGTGGTTTTTGACCAACTGGCTGGCTCCTGGTACAAATCAAAGGTGAAGTCAATGGCCTTGTAGAGGATATTGTGGCAGACCATGTATTTACGATGCTCATGGTCATGAACAGATGCATCCACTTCATCATCTTCAGCCTGGGAGCTAGGAACAAGGAAGCACAAGCAAGCCAGTAGGAGGAGGTGCCTCAAGATAGAGGATGACATTGTCCTGCAAGACAGATAACAGAAGGCCAAACCTTGATTCAGGGCTCATGACCTTGCACAATGATTGACGTTGTGTAAAAGCAAGCTCAGTTCCTTAACAATCTTAACATGCCCAGCCTGTACCTTGCACTGTCTACTCACCTGCCCTGATAAATATGTTTGTTTCCTGTGGAACTCAGGTTGGAGTCCAATCCCCAGTGTGCAGTGTTAGGAGAGTGGAAAGTTAATCTGATGTGGCATTTATAGGCAGGATATTTATGAGTGTTGTGTGGCTGTGAGTGTAACACAGTGGTTCAGCACATGCCTAATCTTGCAAGTTTCGGATTCTATTCCTAGCACAAATAAAATCCATACAATAATATCAGAATGTTGGGGAAACTAAATAGAGTAAATGTAGCTATAAAAACTTATTCCCAGATATGACCTTAGATGACGTCTTTTAGGGGGAAAATGATGGTGCCAATTCCAAGGCTTCAAGTGAGGGGAAGACAGATGGAACTGAAGAACATAATCCCAGATAACAGAAAAAAGCAGAGGGGACACTGAGGAGAGGAAGTTATCTGAAGAGCTAACAAATAGAGTCTGCCCCCCAAAAATGTATGTACACTTCAGTAGTTCACCATACTAATGAATGTCTGGAAGCTAATGGCCACCACTTTGAGCACTTCTTGTAATTGTAAAGGCCAAAGGTAATGTGCATTATTCTCGTGACATCTCTATAAATTTAGTATTAGAATTTTTATAAAGTTTTTCTTTTCCTGACTTAAACATTTTTTTAGTGGACCTCATTCATATCTCTCTTATGGCCAATAGAAAAATCAAGGGCTGTGAGTCTCTGGAGGAGGAAGAATATTTACTCAGAAACACTGAAAAAACAAGAGATAATATAAAAGATGCAGGAGGTCCTAGATGACTTTAAAAGAACAAACGCAGGACCGGGAATTTACCTCAGTGGTTCTGTCACCTGACTTGCAAGTGCAAGGTCCCAAGCTCAATTCTTGGTACAAAAAAAAAAAAGAAAAAGAAAAAAGAACAAACCCAAGAGCCATTAATCTTGAAGAAGGGGTAGAGTTAGAGACTGATGATATAAAAATCATTCAGACCAGTAGAGGATTATAAAAATTATTTCAAAAATTTATATTCTAGAAATTGGAGAATCTGAAAGAAATAATCTAAAATATTCAATAGAAAAGTTTAACATTAATAAGAAAAAAATGCAAAAATTGTAACCGTCCCAAAGCAGATCTCAAAGACACTTACATGTATACATTTCCAGACAAAGAACTTTAAAAACTACCAGTTAAAAAGACTGATGAGATAAAAAAGATAAGTACGTAGCTAGTAAATCATTTACTAAGATGACCAATATATTTCTAGAAGATCTAAATAGTAGTTAAAGTGTCAATCTCTAAGATGATCAATGATCTTAAAGAAGGTACAAATAAGCAGCTGAATGAGTTAAGAAAGACAATGCAGGCTATAAAACACTACTTAAGGGGCCAGAGATTTAGCTCAGTGGTTCCTTTGCCTGTCTCACAAGTGCAAGGTCCCAAGTTAAATTCCCGGTACCCCCCCAAAAAAAGACCATTTAAGTAAAGAAGTAGAGGTTATGATAAAGAATCAAGCAGAAATCCTGGAAGAGAAAATCTAGAGTGCTTTAGCAATAGGCAAGATCAGTCAGAAGACAGAATATGAGGATTTGAGGATAGCCTCGATGAAGCAGAACATTTACTCAGTAACACTGAAAACCAGAAAGAGACAATAAAAAAAGATGCAAGAAGTTTTAGATAACTTTGAAATAATAAACTTAAAAATCATTGATCTTGAAGAAGGGGTAGAAAGAGAGACTGATGGCACAAAAAGCTGTTCACCAAAATTATTGTAGATTTTCCAAATCTTAAGAATGAGATGGATACCCAGGTAAATGAAGTATTTATAAACCCTAAATAGACATGACCAGAAAAGAACTTCTGTAAGACAAATCATAATAAAAATCTCAAAAATTCGTAACAAAGAGCTCTTAGTGGAAAATGACAAATTATATAATTGCAAACCCATCAGAATAACAGCAGATTTCTCAACAAAAACACTGAAGGCCAGGAGAGCTTAGAGTTAAGCTTTTCAGTCTCTAAAAGAAAATAATCACCAACCCAGATTACTATATCCAGTGAAATTATCCTTCAAATTTGTTGGAAAAACAGAGACCTTTCACTATAAAAACAAACTAAAATAATTCATGACCACAAAACCAGCACTGCAAAAAATACTCAAAGGAATCCTAAACAGAGACAAGGAGATCAACAATACCCAAGAGTCTGAATAAAAAAATAAGTTTCAGTGGGAGAGTAGTTAAACAAAAGGGAAAATTTTAAGAAGGAACTGAGCATTAGAAAAACAGTACAATGACAAGAATCAGTATATATCTTTCATTAATAACACTCAATGTAAATGGTTTCAACTCTTCACTCAAAAGTCACAAATTAGCAGATTGGCTCAAAGAAACAAAACCCAATATTTGTTGCCTCCAAAAATAAACCTCACAACACACATGCTGAAGATAAAAGGACTGAAACTATACTCCAAGAAGCCAGAGAATGACTAATTTTTCACAATGTTGGCTTTAAACCAAAGCTGGTCAGAAGAGACAGCGTCAAGAAAGTCACTACAAATTGGTAAAGGGAACAATTCAGAAAGAAGATATACTACTTGTAAATACCTGTGCACTGAATGTATACATTCAAATTCATAACACAAAAACTACTTGACATAAAAGGACAGATACTAATACAGTCATAGTGGAGGACTGCAATATACCATTGCTGCAAATAGAAAGGTCAACCAGACACGTAGCCAATAAAAAAATACAGAGGTAGCCATGTGCAGGAACATAGGCCTATAGTCTGAGCAACCAAAGGTCTGTGTCTTGGCTCAGCCTGGATTCCACAGGATGACCTGGGTGCAAAGACAGAGGCAGAAGACATAACAGAGTGAGTCCAGAGCTGTCCAGGCAACTCCTCAGACCTCTGCAGGGAGAGGCCAGGGAGCTCCAGGGGCTTAGGAGCTGTCCTGGCTGAGGAGGGCACTGTCCCAGTCTCACCCTGAGGGCCTACTGTGTGCCAGGATCTGCAGTGAGGCCATTCCTCCTCCCTGACTCTACTCCCTCCCTGGAAAGATGGCCAATATGCGGTTTCCTGGGTTCAGGTCTTGGCTCTGCCAAGGGAGAATTTGCCTGTTTCCTTGTGGGTAGGGTGATACTGAGCCAGACAGGAGGGTGCATAGCACCTACCCTAGCATCCCAGGAGGCGGCTGGTGGAGCAGGACTTACTCAGCAGGGCGTGGAGGCTCAGCTACACATGAAGCACCAAAAGTCCCTTATGCACTATCTCATCTTGGGGATTTATAGGCCATGTAGAGGCATGGGGACACTCAGCTCCTATGTGATCAGGAACCATCTGTGCTGGGAGACAGCCTCAAGCACCTCCTGATTATGGGCAGGTGTCTGTGTGCAATGTGCTGCTGCTGCCTGAGGCCCTCACTGTTCTTCCTTGGCCTGGCTTTGTGGACAGGGCACCTGTGGATGGCTGGTGCCAGGACATCTGGAGGGTGGGTGCGAGGGAGCCCTGTAACTACCCCAGACCGACCGCAGGGAGCTGTTGAGAGAAGGCAGAGTTCATTCATATCAGGAGCCCAGAATGGTGCTGGCTCCATGGTGACCAGTAAAAACTATCACCTGCCTGCATCAGGGAGTATGTTTCTGCCATGGACCTGCCCTGGGAAGTCTGCTATCCAGAGCTGCAGTGGATGCCATTCAGTCTTTGGACCCAGTTTGTACTGACACAGATGGGAGATAAAAGCCAAGCACTGAGCATCACTTAAAGGGTCCTTGGTTTAACTGGAAAGATCAATAATCCACAGTCCCATGAGGAGGGAGCTTTCTTGAAATTTAAGAAGTGTTCTGAGCTCTCATCCTTATTACTGTCCATTATGGCTTATAGCTAGATGTTCCCTCAAAGCCTCACGCAGTCATAAGTGGGGTTTTCCAGAGGTTGCTGGATCTAGGGTATGTGTTTCTGGAATTAAGGGTGTGTGATTACTAAATTAGTCTCCTGATTGGCATATTTCTGGGTATGGATAGTGGAAGGCCTAATCTGGGTACGGATGGCACCACCCAAAGGGCAGATAGTTTGGAAAGGATACAATATAGTTTGGATGTTGCTACTGCTGCTGCTGCTGCTTCTCTACTTCATTGCTTTGCTGCCTTTTGCCCCCCATGAACACTTTCTCCTCTGTGGTGCCCCTATGCCATGCCACCCAGCCAATTATGAATTGAAATCTTTACAAACTGTGAGCTACAATAAACCTTTCCTCCTTTAACTGCGGGTGTTGGATATTTTGTCTCAGCAATGAAAATACTCACTAAGACAGATTTTCATACTAGGAGTAAGGTCATTGCTGCGACATTACCTGACCATGTGACTCAAGGGCTTGTGGGGAGAAGCCTTTCCAAAGGGAAGGTTTAGAGATGACAGCTGAAGAAGCAGCCCTGAAATGCTTTAAGCTGTACTTGATGGGAGATTCTTGCCAGCATGTTGATAGAAATGCTGCTGGTAAAGAAGCTCGGGAGGATTCTGTTGAGAGAAGGACGGCATTGGTCATTGGACTCCCGATCATGTTGTTATACTTTGGCAGACAGTTTGCCTGTATTTTGCAACTATCTAGAGACTTTTCCTGAGACTGAGATTAAGGGCAGTGAGCTGTTCAATCTTGTGGAACAAATTTCAATGCAGTCTAATATTGAAGTGGTGGCATGGCTACTTGCTGGGGGCATTTAGCCCAATTATGTTGTGAATCAAGAGCAAAGAGCCCAGCAGGTTAATTTAAAATGTTTTGAGTTTGGCCAGAAAGAAAGCTCCAGTGAAGATATGGCCTACAAAAAGAGGTCAGAGGAGAAATTTGTTGCAGCAAAGGAACATGACAGTAGGTAGAAAAGTTGCCCTGAAGACATCACAACAATTGGCAGAACTTCAGCCTCTGCAGCATCAAAATTGCAAAGATGAAAGACTTTGCTTTGCAATGAGAGCCCCAGAGCACCATGTTCCAGGATGCTGGCACCCTGGAGAATTTGTTCCTCAGAACTGGATTCATAATGCTCAGAAATCCAGGCACTTTATCCCTACCGCCAAGAAACAAAGAAGCCTGGCTAACTGCTCCAGCTGGCAGTAGACTCTGGCATCATCCACGGATGCTGATTTTAGGTGCATGCGGAATATGAGAGTTTTGGGGACAGGTAAACTTCCACCCAGATTTCAGAAGGCCTGAGAGGCCAGGCAGGGTGCTTCTGAGAGGGCAGTGTGTGAAGCTGTGAGTGTGAAGCCAAACGTGCTGTGGAGACTCCAGAATGTTGGAGAAGCCGGGGGCAGGTATTGTTTGAAGAAAGTCACAAAGAGTGAGCAAAACTGGCCAGAAAAGAGAAGCCATGGGAGCTACAACCACTGGAAGTGCTACAGGGGAGGAGCCACCCAAACAAGCTGTTTGGAGTTCACAGCTTGCCGTACATTGCACTGGATGTTGGACTTGGAACTTTTGGATTTACTCTGCCCTGGTGTGTTTTGATCTTGCTTTGTTCCTGTTCCTTTCTAGGCCCCCCATCCCTTTTTACCCTTTGGAATAAAAATGTCTGTTTTGTGCTATTGTACTTTGGAAATGTTTAACTTTCTTTTCATTTGTACAGGGGCTCACTGCTAAGCATTAGCCTTAATTCTTAGAAAAGACTTTAAACTTGGGCTTTTTAGCAATGCTGAAACTGTTAGGACTTTGGCAACTCTTAGAGATGGACTAAATGTCTTTTGCATAAAGGGATGTGCAAGAGTATTCAGGGGGCCAGAATGCTATGGCTCCTATCTAGATGTCCCACCAAAACCTCATGCAGGCATAAAAGGAGTTTTCCAGGGGTGGCTGGATCTAGGTTGTGTGTTGCTGGGATTGAGGGTGTGTGATTACTAAATTAGTCCACTGATTGGTCTGGCATATTTCTGGATATGGATAATGGGAAGGCCCATCCTGGGTGTGGGTGGCACCACCCAAAGGGCAGGTAGCTTGGAAGGGATAAAAACAACAGGCTGAATGCTGCTGCTACTCCTTCACTACTTCATTGCTTTGCTGCCTTCTGTCTAACATTAACAGTTTCTCCTCTGTGATGCCCCTCTGCATGCCACCCAGCCTTGAAGCTAGCCAATTATGAACTGAAATCTTCACAAACTGAGTTACAATAAACCTTTTCTCCTTTAACTGTGGGTGTTGGATATTTTGTCTCAGTAACAAGAAAATTAACATCAGTTCTTTGTGTCAACCTAAACAGTGAACAGAGAGACTCTTGTGACAAATAAATTTATTTGGGAATAAGTTGGGCTTTGCCATGGGGATTCTGTGTTCTCTGTAGCTATGAGCACATTCTAGGGGGTCAGGTGAGGGGACACTGTGGGAAGAAAAGGAAGTGCATGCATAAGTTGTTTGGAAACTACATGAACATTGTCTTTTTCTTTCCCTAGTACCAGGGATCAAACTCAAGACCTTGTGTTCACCAGGCGGGTGCAGTGCCATTAAAGCCACATCTCTGGCCCTGAACTATTTTTACTTTTTTTTTTTCACTATCTACAGAACCTCACCATGGAAGGTGATGCCAGTCCTTAGTATGTCAGGCATAGGCATGTGTTGTGGTTCAGGGGCCTGCTGTCCTTGCTGGCTCACATAAGATGCTGCAGTTTGGAAATATTTCTTGTGACATTTCCTGTCATCAGGCAAATAGTGCTCAAGAGTCTTCCCATTATGGCCTTCCCAAAGCCCCAGTCCAAGTTGTCAGGTTTGACAAAATTCTAGCCATTTTCACACTTACAAGTCACACACCACAGGTGCACATAAGTATATATACACACATATAGGCATATAGGTAAAGACTCACAGATGCGTGCACGCGCACAACACACACACACACACACACTCATGCGCGCGCACCCCCCTCCACACACACAGTAAAATACCTTGGTTCACAAACTTAATTCTTTCCATGATTCTGGTAGCAAATTGAATTGGACAAGAGCCAAATCGAATTTCCCCACAAGGTCAACATTGAACCGAACCATTGCATTTGACTGAGTTCTCATCCAGTTCACATTGGAACCAGAACTGTAGAAAGACTTAAGATTGTGAACTGAGGTACCAGTGTATATAGTTACAGAAACACAGGGAAGGGGAGATCCAAATATATCATGAGTGTTTAAACTTTGAAAATGTGTTGTAAAAAAAGACACATTGCCAGTAATCCCCCTCAGAACACTACCCCTTCCCTTAAACACATTTATCCCGTCAATGAATGTAACTGTACTGTATCCCTAAATGTACCAATAAACTCAATTAAAAAAAAAAAGACACATTGCCAGTAACCCCCCTCAGAACACTACCCCTTCCCTCAAACACATTCATCCCACCCTTCTTGCCACTTCCTGAAGCAGCTCTGGAAATCCTCTTTCATGAGTGTTTTTGTGAAATGTGGTAAAAGATACACTAAATGTGCCAGGTGCCATCCAACAGAAAGGCAGGTTTGTAAAACCCTGCAGTGTGTCCTGATGCAACTTGTTCACTGGATCTGGTACCGTGTGACTTCTGCCTCTTCCCTAAAAGCTAAATGTTTTGGATTGATTCAGAACACCGAGGCAGCCAGCATGGCGCAATTAGAGACGCTTAAGAAAGAGAAATTTCTGAGTTGCTTCAGAAAGTGGCAAGAATGCTGCGATAAGTGTGTCTGAAGAAGTAAGGGAGAGGATTCTGAGAGGTGTTAATGACAACGGGTCTTTCACTGTAACAAACCTTTGAAATTTTTAAACATTTACACAGGCACACACAGACTCAGACACACATGCAGGAACGCATAGACACACATAAATACACATGCATAGACACACATAGAGACATAGTCACACACAGACACAGGATGAGCCCTTTCTCTCTCTAGGCCACATAAAGACCAGAACAACCCATTCACCTGACTCACCCTCAGAGGCCTGGGCCTGGCAGCATGAGGCAGGCTCTGATGACAGTGTCCTCTGAATTCTCCTGGTGAAGATCTGAATCTTCCTCGTTTAGCTGAAGAAGGAAGCCACAGTGCCACCTCCAGAATATTTCTTCTCGGCCCTGCCTGTAGTCTCAATTACTGTTTCATGGTTGGCTGGGTGGGTGTGAGCATTAACAGGACCATTTGCATTTCCACCCCTAGGAGAAATTTGAGACTTAAGCTTCATTTTTTCCATCTTGCAATAAGAGAAAACAGAGGCACAGAGCAATTTAGTGGACTACAAGGGATCACACGCTAAGTGCCTAGGAGGCAGAGCTGGGGTTCCTGTACTCTTGCCACTTTGCTGTGCTACTCTGCATTCTCATCCTAAAAATTTAATGCTGAGAGTTGGCCTAGATGACAAGTAAATAATCACAAATTAATAATCACACCTAAATGAAGACAATTACATTAATAAATCTTATAATTCATTTTAAAAGTACTAATTGTGGATTAAAATGATTTTACATAATACACATTTCTTACTCTGTTCTCTGTGCTCTCTGCTACATTAGCCAGATGGAATTTTTTTTTCAGCTTTAATTGAATTTATTGGTACATTTTAGGGATACAGTACAGTTACATTCATTGTTGGGAATTTGTACCTCTACATGACATGTCTTGGTTCTCATTTTTTCCCCTTGTCCCTGCCCTCCCTTCACCCCCTCCTCCCCTCCCCATCTACAAACACTTTATTTCCATCTTTTCATTATCTCACATGTTTTTCTTTTCCCTTATTACCCTTCCCCTACACATCCCACCTTCCCTACACCTTTAGCTCCTTTCTTCCCATTTCTAAATGTCAGTAATCTTATTAGGATCTTCTGTATTATTGCAGATTATTCACTCCAGAGAGACTATTCGGTATTTACACGTGTGTGCCTTATTTATTTCACTTAGGAGTATATCTTCAATATGTATCCATTTTCCTATGAATGAATCTATTTTCTCATCAGATGGAATTTTTTAAAAAAGATTGTTATCTCTGATTGTTCATTACATCAAGTTCCCTTATGAGAGCTTTGTTTTTGGAAATGCAGCTTTGACTCTAAGGGCAGGGGTCCTAGGCAGCTCTTGGTCCAGGACAAACAGGGTGCAGCTGCCCCACATGTACCTGCCCTGTTCTCGTCCTCTCCAGCGTGACTCTGCATCCCTGTCCCTGACTCTCCCCACCCTGCTCACTCTGTGCTGACTTCCCACACAGCAGGGCTGAGCTCCTCCTAGTGCAGCTTTCTCCTGGGCTCCCTCTGTCGTGCCTCTCGCCTTCCCTGTGCTCCCCAGATCCTGCCCAGGTGAAGGTAACTTTGAGTGGTTTTCAGGAGCTCTGGCTGCACACATCATGGAGGACTGATTTGCTGCAGGCACAAAACTCTGAACATTTGGGGTTTAATCCAGCAAAGGCTGATTTCTGGCTCCCTCTGTAGACCCTGTGTGGGATAGTCAGAAGCCACTGCCAGCCTTGTGACAGAGACCAGGCTGAAGGTGACTTCCCCTCCTCCTATCTCTGCTCCAAATCTTCCACTCCATGAGACCTTACAGGACAATGCTAGGGGTCAGCGTGATTCCCATGCTACTTGGCAGAGGACCCCACTGTCATCTGAGTGCCTGATGGGGTGTCTTCAAGCATGAATAACCAGCACCCTGGGCCTGCCAAGTGTCAAGCATTGGAGGCAAAGGAAAAATGTTCCCCAGAATTTGTGGGCCTGAGTGTGACCAGAGCAGGAGATCTGGGAAAAAGGAACTAATTGCTTACTAGAGAAACAGATTTAACATAAGACATACAAATACATAGCAATTTACAAGATTGTCCTACCATGGTTGCCCACAGGGTCAAGTGTGGAAGAGTGCAAAAAGTCCATCTGTACAGTGGGGATCTTCAGGATCTAGTTGAAGGCCTGGAGCTCACAGTAATGTCCTGTGCAAGTCCTTATCGGGAGGCTGAAGGGTCTGCACTGGAAACTGAAGAGTCTGTGCCTAAAGACTGGAGTCTGTGCTTGAATCCAAATGAGGTACAAGGTGAAGGTGGAGATTGGAGCTCCTCTGAAGATGCAGAAGCAATCCTTCCTTCCCCATTTCCCTTTTATAGCATTCTGGTGATGATCTTCGCTAGGGCGGGTCTTCCACACCCAGAACTATGCTCAGCCAATTTAGTTGGGCTTTTCTTACTCACGTTGACACAGTCAATTAGCTATTACATTCCACTACTTGACAACCACACATTTTTTTAAACCAAAGTTTCCAGATAAAAAGACAAGTTAATAATTACACTTAAAATATTATAACTATCCTGCATACAAAGAGAAATGCACTAATTCCCTCCCCAGAATAGAAGGCAAGTTTTCTTTGGGTGATGCCTACTCCTAACATTTCATAACTTGAATATTATGACATAGGTTTAACAATACTTAAGAACCAATATTAAGTCTATCAACATTATGTTACATTGGAGGCATATTAGGAGAGAACTATCACAATTACAATCTTCATTTCTGTAGCTAGTCATAGGGTCAAAGCTGGTATTTAGAACTACCTTCCACTACCCATTCTGTACTCCCTTGGCCTTCAGTAAGCACTTCAGCAGGTCTTGGTTCTTTCCTTGGTGGAGTGACCCATACCTTCATTCCTGAAGGTTCTGGACCATTTGTAATTCTGCATGGATTAGGTTGTTGTAATTTCCTATTGACTTTAATAACAGGGTAACACTAAGAGACACCCTAAGGGATCTCCTGCATCCCAAGTATATTCTTCCTTTCCTCTATTGTGGAGTAATTGTCCAATTTCCCCTGATACCTTGATAACACTGTGACTCCTTTTTTTGCTTGTTTCCTCAGAGGCAGACCAAAAGGACCAGGGGGAAGCCTTAGCTTCCTGTTCAGTGTTATCTTTGTTGTCCTTCCTTGCACAAGCCCCCCACCCTAGAACTAAGTCTTCTAATCCAGCAAAACATGAGTTCACAAGAACAGGAAGCAAAAATTTTGCTAGAGGGTCACTAGGGGTAATGGTGAGTGGTGACATTCCCACTTCCACTCCTTGATTCCTGGACCCATGAATCTTAACTATGGGAGACACAGTACCATATAGTGGATGCTGATTCAAAACATAAACAGCCTTTCAAAGAACCTTGCCCCAGTCCTACAAGCTATTGCCACCTAGCTGGCACTATAACTGTGTCTTCAAAAGACCATTCCACATTTCTAATGATCAAGCTACTTCTGGATGGTGAGGAACATGGTTATACCAGTGAATTCCATGAGTAGAAGCCCATTGCCTCACTTCTTTGGCTGTAAAATATTTTTCTTGGTTAGAGGCAATACTACGCGGAATTCGATGATAGTGGATAAGGCATTCTATGAGTCCACACATGGTAGTTTTGGCAGAAGCATTCTTGCATGGAGGGTAAATCCATATCCAGAACAAGTGTCTCTGCATTGAGGACAAAGTGCAGTCCTTTCCATGATGGAACTGGTCCAATATACTAACCTGCCACCATGTCACAGGCTGATCACCCTGGGAAGAGGCACAATACTGGTGGCTCAGTGTTGGTCTCTGCTGTTGACATGTTAGGCATTCAGCAGTGGCTGTAGCCAGATCAGCCTTGGTGAGTGGGAGTCTGTGTTACTGGACCCATGCATAACTTCCATCCCTGCACCATGGCCACTCTGTTTATAAGCCCATTGGGCAGTGGCAGGTGTGAACGAAGAAAGAGGTTGGCCACTATCTACAGAAAGGGTCATTTTACCCTCTTGATTGTTACAGTCCTCTTCTGCAGTGGTAACTTTTTGGTGAGCATTTACATGGGGTACAAATATTTTTACCTACTTCACCAATATGGAGAGGTCTATCTACTTACCTGTTTCTTAAATATCTTTGTAGCCAATTTTCCAGTCATGTTCCTTCCAAGTTGCTGATCACTCAGCCAGACCATTGGTTATAACCCTCTAGTCAGTATACAGTCATACACCTGGCCATTTCTCCTTCCAGGCAAAATGTACTGCCAGGTGCACTGCCCAAAGTTCTTCCCACTGTGAAGATTTCCCTTAACTGCAGTCCTCCCGGGATTTCCTGGAAAGGGGCTGTAATGCTGCAGCTGCCCAGTTGCAGGTGGAGCCTGTATAGCATGCAGAGTCATCTGTAAACCAGGCCCTAGCCTTCTCTTCCTCTGACAGCTACCCCATGAGGCCATAGGTACATGCTGAGAAATAGAAAGTGATAGGGCAAAAGTAGGAGCCATAGGCATCTGGGCAACTTCCTAGTGTAATTTACTCACACCCTCTGGACCTGCCCTGGTTTGATCATATGTATAATATTTCCATTTAATGTTGGACCATTGTTGTGCACATCCAACTTTATGACTTGGTGGATCAGGTAATACCCAGTTCATGATAGGCAATTCAGGTCACATAGTAGGTAACCTGGTGTCCCATTGGTGTTCAATTTCCATCAAGGCCCAGAAGAAGGCCAAGAGCTATTTTTCAAAGTGAGTGCTTGTCTGCAGATGATGGCAGAGTCTTGCTCTAAAATCCTAAAAGTCTCTGCTGCAGTTCACCTACAGGGGCCTGCCAAAAATTCTAACAGCATTTCAATACCTTTGGATTTGCTGGATTACATGGCTCCAGTGACAGAGCAGCCTCCATAGCAGCCTCCACCTGTTGCAGAGCCTTTTCTTCTCTGAGCCCCACTCAAAACTAGCAGCTGGAGTAAAACACCGAAGTGAGGAATGTATTGCCTCTAAAATCCAAATAGGCCCTGTTGGCATTGTACCTCTTTTTTGGTTGTTAGGGCAGCTAGATGCAGCAACTTATCTTTTACCTTAGATGGGACATCTCTAAATGCCCCATGCCACTAGACTTACAGAAATTTCACTGTGGTAGAAGGGCCTTGAATTTTTGTTTGATTTATTTCCTATCCTCTGGCTCTGAAATGCTTTACTAACAAATCCAGAGTGGTTGCTCACTTGACCTAATCAGCATAACATCAATGGATCTATGTGATACCTTCTGGAAAAGTAAAGCGATCAAGATCTCTATGAACTAAGTGGTGACACAGGGCTGGAGAGTTACTATAACCCTGAGGTAGGGCAGTGAAGGTATATTGATGGTCTTGCCAGCTAAAAGCAAACTGTTACTGACAGGCATTTCAGGGAGGATGAAGAAAAAGGTATTTGCCAAATCAATAGCTGCATACTAAGTACCAGGAGATGTGTTGATCTGCTCAAGCAAGGACACCATATCTGGTATAGCAGCTGTGATGAGAGTCACTACTTGATTTAATTTACGGTAATCCACCATCATTCAAGACCAATTTGTCTTCTCCACAGGCCAAATGGAAGAATTAAGTGGAGATGTGGTGGGACCACCACCCCTGCATTCTTCAAGTCTTCGATGATGGCATTAACCTCTGAAATCCCTCCAGGGATACAGTGCTGTTTTTGGTTTACTATTTTACCAGGCAAAGGCAACCCTAATGGCTTCCATTTGTCCTTTCCAGCCATAATAGCCCTTATACTACAGGTTAAGAAACTAATGTGAAGATGCTACCCAGTACTAAATATACCTGTCCCAATTATGCATTCTGGAGTAGATGAAATGTCTACAGGATGGATTCGAGGACCCACTGGACCCACTGTGAGTCAGACATTTGTTAAAACTCCATTGACTTAAAGCCCTGTCTGAACTCAGGCACACATAATGTGTTTGAGTCTCTCACTTTATCTTGTGACTCTTAAGTGGATGTAGCATTCAAACTGGCTCTCCAGCACTATCCTAGATAATTGTCACTATATCCAGTCCCCAAAGAACTAATGTAATTTACATGGCTTATTTTTCATCAAATGATCTAAGGTTAAACTAGATCTGAATATGAGAAGGGAGAGGGGAAGAAAGTATCAGGGTGAGGACCCTGATCAGGATGAACAGTTAACTGTTGGTCTGTTAGAACTCGTGAGTGATGAAGATGCTACGTTTCATTTTAAAATTTTATTTCTCTCAAAAAAGATTTTACTCTTGTTTTCCTTAAAATATTGTTTGTTATAAAATCATCATACAATCTACTTAAGGTAAGTCACCCAAAATAACATAAAGCAGGGCTTCCTTCACTCATCCAACATAACCCTTTTTAATGCATTATACTTGTAATGTATATATTACATATCTTTTTTAAAGTAAGATTATACTGTTAATGCTGTTTTGTACCCCTTTCTATCACTTAATAATATGAGTATCAGCATACATTAAATCATATATTTCTGCAGTTTAATTTATGGCTAAACACTGTACCATTATTTAAATTTAGCATAATTTCTTTAACCTAGTCATTTACTATAGGACAATTAACATGCATCAACTTTTCAAAATCACTCAGTGCCATCAAGATATCCTGAGACTTATATTTTTTGTTGAGAACAGATTATTCTGTTAGAGTACATTTTTAGAAAAAGAAATTCTGGGTCATGGGGTACTTTTAAGCTTTTTAGATTGTACTGCCAAATTATTTTCCAGAAAAATAATGACTGTATTTCTCTTAGTAGTATGCACTTCTCTTTTTCTATGTATGATTCTGAGGGAAGTATAAAGAGATAGTAGGTATTTTGTGGGCAAAGAGGTTATTTGCAATTGAGACAATATTTCTAAGGGTGAGCCCTCCCCCACCACTCTGCTTTGCAGGGTATGTTATTGTACTTCCTGACTCAGAAGAAAATTTTGTTTGATATGTGCACTAAAACAATGAGTGATGATCTATATATGTTTTTTACTTTGGCAGAAATGCCAAAACATCCTCAGGCAGCTGGGCATGGTGGCACACACCTGTAATCCCAGCACTTGGGAGGCTGAGGCAGAAGGATGGCTGCAAGTTCAAGGCCAACCTGAAT